TTCTGGTTTTTTTCCATTTTGCCTTTTTATCATCATCATCATCATCATCATCATCATCATCATCATCATCATCATCATCATCATTCATTGCACAGCTAGCCAGATGTTTAGATTGCGCTTGGCATTTTTATCTGCTTCTCTAGTCCTTTCCAAGGACCTGCAATAGGTAGGTGTTTATATTTGATGGTGTTAAAGGCATCATTGCAAGATGTAAACTTTCTTAAACAAAGCTGCCTTTTGCAATTGATTGATGGTGATTTTGTCAAGGCCAATGGTGTTCAAGTAATGCTCCAGATGTTTTGGGATTGCACTCAAGGTGATTATTATTATTATTATTATTTATTTTGAAATGATTTTAGAAATGGCAGCTTTGAGCAGTTTTATGCATTTTTCCTAAATAAATTATTGAACATGGTGCTTCTAAAGACTGAAAGGGGAGGCAAGGGAGCTCCATTCCCCATATCAATTTCTGTTGTCTCCCATAATTCCTGCTCCTTTCCAAAACTGCAATTCGGGTCCAACTTCTTCTCCTTATTCTTTCTCCATCCACCTCTTTTTCAAATGAGTTTATCTTCTGGTAAAAAAGGGAGAATGGATAAGCAACGGCTTTGTATCTTTATTGAAAAAGGAATTTTCAGGAAGCAGATTGGAATATTATCTGTATTTCTAATTCATCACAATAACTACAAACTATGCACCTAGTGTATTTTGAATCCATTTTATTTTGGCTAATGTTGAATTCAGATTCATGAATTTAAATAAGTACATTTTGTTCAAGATGCTAACATTGATATCTATACAGAAGATCTTCAAAAGATCAATGCTATGTAATATTTTGTCACAAAGTTCTATGTAAACTTCTTTAATTTTACAATTGTGAAATCAAAGAGATTGGGACAATCATCCTGGAAATGGCCAGCCTAGGATAAGTGATTTGCAAGAGAGTTGGTGTAGAATGTAAAACTTTGATATGCATTAGAATTAAGATTCAGAAAAGATGGAATTTGCAGAGCCCACTTGTGCACTGATTCCTAATATATTACACTAATACAGTACCAGTTTGAATTTCAATATGCTTTCATCACCAATATTTTAATGGAAGAATGAAAAGTGTCTTTCTGTCTGCAGGAGAGACTTAGGGTAAAGATAAACATCAGAAATTGTCAAAGTAGTCAAAGTATGTACTTCAATTTCATAATGTTATAAGATACTTCAGGTTGTAGCTTTACTGTGATTAATTAACACCATTGATTGCTCTGTATGTTGACTGTTTTTTTTTTGTCTTGGGAAACAATAATATGGTTGAGATATTTGTACCACTTTATAGAGCATGAAATAGCTAGTTGGAAATACTATGTGTATAACCAGCATGGAGGTCCCTGAACCTAAGACAAACATGTAACAGATATGCAACAACAGGAAAGTTTACTCCATTATTCCTGTGAATTGTATAACCCAGTCTCATATATTAGTATTTGCGATTTCTAACCTGTGTTTCCAGATATATTGTTATTTAGATTTGTTAGGCTAATACAGTTAATAGGAGGTAAATGCCATTTACCTCCCAACGACCAATAAGATCACACAGGTTGGGTCTCCCCCGGAGGCCGTCGACCAAACAATGCCGGCTGGCGGCTCCCCGAGGGTGGGCCTTCTCTGTAGCTGCACCGGCCTTGTGGAACGAGCTCCCTGCTGAGATCCGGACCCTCACCACTCTCCTGGCCTTCCGTAAAGCCACCAAGACCTGGCTCTTCCGGCAGACCTGGGGCTGTTGATTAATTTCCAGCCCCACTTGATGGAATGGATGTTGTACTGATTTTAATTCTGTATTTTTAAATGCTTTAAATGCTTTTTACTTGTTGTGAGCCGCCCAGAGTCCCTAGGGAGTGGGCGGCATACAAATTCTATTAAAGTTTAAAGTTTAAAGATAGTTTGATGCAGCAGTTTAAGAAGATGATAAGTTCTAGTCCTGGTATGAAAAGTGATTGGGCCAGATACTCTCTCAACCCGAGAAGGAAAAGTTCTGACAAGGCACTTTCCAAAGTGTTGCCATGAAAAATAAGAGTCAAGGAAATTAGTATTTTGCCTCCTAGGTTCTTCTTATTCCTTGTCTCACCTAAAAATTCAGTAAATCTAAATAAATAAGGCTTTAAAAATGGGACCCGCCCCTTTCTTGTGAAACTACAACCCTCCATTTAGGTTACTTGTGGTCCTCCAGCTGGTGAGTCAAGGATGTTCTGATTACTAATCCTGGAATGGTCTAAGGCTATGGAAATGGTTATACTGTATATGGACCAAACTCCATTCCTGTCTTTAGATCATGTTAAAACTCAACCCCCTGTCCTGTTTGATTTTTGGATGAGGTGCTAAAATGTATGTTGGATGCACATTTTCCATAGTGAAAAATACAGTATTTCTTGGAAAACATTTTTATTTCTTTTTTTTCCCCATCTTGGAGCACATCTTGGTATAGGCAGCTCTCACAGAGAGATTAAAAATGATAAGGTTAGCTGTGGCAGGCTTCTTTATTTCACTGTCCTGAGATACAGTGATAAAATGAAAAAATATCATTCCAAGTCAGAGCAGGAAAGGAAATATAAAAGGAACAACGCAAGTACACTATTCTGGGTTCAAGTCCTATTGAAGATGCTCATCTGTTATACCGATAACGTTGTTGACCACCAGAGAAGCATTTCTAGCAGTGGGAGTTTACAGTCACTTTCAAATTTCTCTTCCAATGCAGTCATATGGAAAAGCAATACATTTGGGTCACCAACAGGTACCCTCTGCAGTAATTAAATAATAGCACAATAGTGGCTTTTTTTGGCTTTGCCTAGTGATTGTGGCAAATACTGCAGGCTTCCCTTCCTGTTCAGCTGTTTCATTCAGCACAATTCTCTGGATATTTGGTTGTGTTCCAGCACATCCTAGTCCAGGGACATCTCTCTAATTTGAAAAAGCTGTAGCCAATGCCTGCATTAATCAGCTGGCTATATTTTTTAGCATTTAAATAAATCAGTCATGCTTGATAATGATGATGTCTATCTTTTCAGTTATGGTTCAGGGATAGCATATTTGCGTTAGCTCAGATCTCCGATGGTTGGTTTTTATGAAGCTGCTTTTAGAACCTTCAGTATTTGTGGCTTTGTGTAGTGTTTCCTCCTAGTGCCACGTGATTGATTGGTGTAAAAGTGAAGAGAAGGGGCATACACTAAACTGCTTTTCCATTCTTTTAGCTTCAAATTCTTAAAGTTATCTGGTAAGTTTCTAACTCATATATGCACAACACGTGGATTTGCTGTTTTCTTTTTCCCTTTTCCAGTGGTCTCTCCTTGCTCATTCTCAAGCAGCAAGGAATTCGATCTCTCCAGTTCCAGTCCCTGAAGCACATCAGTGCTGGGAATGTCTACATAACTGACAACAGTAACTTATGCTACTATCATACTATCAACTGGACTAGCCTCTTCAGCTCACCTAACCAGAAAACGGTCATCCACAGAAATAAGAGGGCTGAGAACTGCAGTAAGTATTTTGCTCTTGGTTGGTTAAATCAATCAATCTCAATCTCTCTCTCTCTCTCTCTCTCTCTCCCTCCCTCCCTCCCTCCCCCCCCCATATTTTTCGGAGTATAAGACTCTCTTAAGTATAAGATGCACCTAGATTTTGGGGAGGAAAACAAGGGGAAAATATTTGCTTCTGCCTCCCAGCAATTTGTCTCCTTGCAACAAACAGTACAGACATTATACACTGTTTGTAGTGTTATATTTCATACTATACTTGTACAGACAAAGTTAAAATGTGATTTCTGGAAGTATATGTTATTCTCTGCTATTTAAAAGAATAGCGCTTTTTAAAACAATAACACTGGGCCTCTTCAGATCAAGCATTTATTTTAAAAAGCCTCTTCATTTTGTTAAGTTGTCTGGAACAATAATAAAGCAGTCTTAAAAAAATAAGTCTAACAATTTGAACATTCTATAGGGATTTGTAGTTATTGACTTACCTCCTTTCAGCAAACAGTCTGATTAGCACAAGAAAAAAAAAATCTGTCTCCCAGCAATTTGCCATGTGGA